GCCTGGCTGCTGCTGAGTGATTCAGGAGAACACGTGCACGTGCATGTGAGTTTGCCCCACAGAGGTGACAGTGGGCCCTGGCTTCCTAGCTGTGGATGTCTGGTGTCCCCTGCTGCTACATCTTAGCGAGAACTTGAAGTCCTTGGTCCCCAGTCCGGGATGAAGGCAAGGAGGACGAGGCGGAGACTGTGTGGCCCCCTCGTGTGGAGCCATGGAGGGGTGGCCTGGGGGGCCGGATGGTCCTGTGCCTGCTGCAGTGGCTCTGGGCCAGGTAGCCCCCAGGGCCATGACTCTTCCAGAGGCTACCACTTACTTCTTATCACCAAAGGAGGAAAGGAAAAGGGTTTGGCCGAGTCCGTCGGTCTACCTCCAGCCTCCACCCGCTGAGGATGGAATAGAGGGAGTGTTGGATTCCGAGCAGGAGGGCGTCTTCCCGCTTCTCTCTGCCTGGCAGATCGCTGGCAAGGTCCCTCTGCCCAGAGCTCAGGGCTCTGTGCCCACCCAGGCGCAGCCACTGCCTTCCCCTCAGCCCCCGCCTCTTTCCCATACGAGCTCCCCACCCGCCTCTGGTCAGAGCTGAAGCCATACACGATTGGGTGTTTTGCGCCCCCCTCAGCCCCAGGAGTAAAACACTTCTCCTTTTCTCACTTCCTTTCCTGCCTTGTGAGGTGGCAGGGCAGCTACCTGGCTGAGGCCTTTTGTACCCCACCTCCAGGGCCAAGGGCCATTTCTAGACAAGGTGTCTTCTGCCGCGGCCCCGTCCCCAGCCTTCCTGACCTGAGGGCCTGGTCTCCCATTGGCAGCTGTGATACAAAGGGAATTTGTCCCCAGTTTTCCCTGTCTGGTGCTGTCCTCAGTACCCCGTCAGCCAGGTCAAGTGCTTCCTCCGGGGCTGGCTGCGGGCTCCTGCCTCCCCCAGCCCCTCCCAGGGGCCAGGGCCTGGTCCCCCGTGTTCAGGGGCCACCTGCCCTCAATCCCGCCAGACACGTTCCCGCCCTGTCTCAACCCGGGCCTCGTGCCCTTGAGTCCCCCACCCATGACCCAATACTCCCAAACCGACTCTTTAAGTGTTTCCTGCGCAGAGGAGAGACGGGTCAGACTGAAAAGGGCCCGATGCCCTCCCCCTCCCCCGCTCCTCCCACCTCTGCCACCAGACTAGCTTTCCAAGGTGAATTCCACAGGCCAGCTTCCTCCCTCCATCCATGGCCACACCCCCAGCCATTTTGTACCATTATATAAATATATATATAAATATAAATATATAAATACAATATGTGAAGACATCTTCTTGGTTTTTATTTTGAAACAATTTTTAGGCTTGTTCCGGGGGTCTCTGTGCTGCCTGTACTGTATTGACCTGTTTTATAGGTGCCTTTTTATTAAAAAGAGAAAATTAAAAATCCAGTTTCTTGCTGTCTTGCTTCCGTGTCTGGCTCCTCCGCTGCCCAACTTACTATTGGGTGCTGGGAGGAAAAATGGGCACCAGGGATTCCCTGGTGTTCCACGGTGAACACCTAGTCCCCTGGGTCACAGCTCTGATCTCCCCTGCGGGGGCCTCTCAGGGACCTTGGCTGACTGGCTTGAGTGGGCCTGGGCAACCGATGTGTGCCCTCAGCAGCTACAGGGGTCCCTGATGTCCCATTCTAGGCAGACCAGAGACTGGGGAGGAGGAGGCAGGGAGAGCCCTCCCCGGGCAGGGGGCAGGCAGCCGCGGAGCAGCTTCCTCTGGTTCCATCTGAGTAGTATCCTCTCGGGGCAGGGCCCAGCTTCCTGGAGCCTGGGGACTTCCCTGCCTAGGCCTGCCTGTCACACTGCCCAGCCCAAGGGGATGCCCTGGCCTGCAGGCAGGGGGCTGGATGAGATGACCCCCAGGGACCCCTTAGGTCTCTTTCCTCAGGAGGTCTCCATCTCTGCTCCGTGGTCAGATTCTCTCTGTGGCTCCAGGAGTTTCCCCTGGCTGTGTAGTTTGCGGGGAGAGGACAGGGAAGAATGCGTCTGTCCCCTTCCCCATCGGTGCCCAGACCCACCAGTGCCCTGGACCCTGCTGCCCCTGGCCTGCCCTGGGAGCTTTCCACGCTGGGCAGAGAAGACAGCTGGCTTTGATTAATACATGTTCATCCTTGGAGCTGGGGAAGGAGAGTCTTTCCTTTCCTTGGTTGGGCTCCTCTCTGCTGACCTTAGTCCTTCTCTAGGATGCTGGCTGGTCTCTGAGGGCACCTGGAGTCTGCCTCAGGCTGCAGACCTCCCAGGGCCCAGTGACATGGGGCTGGCCTGGCGCCATTTTGGTCAGAGCCAGGGGCAGCCACCTGGACCGGGTCATCCTGAGCTTCCTGCTTGGTCAAGATGCTGCAGGGCTGGTGACCAGAAAGAATGCCTGTGCTTATTAGGCACTGAGACATGTTGAGGCCCCACTCTCTTGCCAGCTGGCCTTTCCTCAGCCTTAACCTCCATCCATGCCCTGGTGCTCAGCTGCTTGTTACTTTTGGCAGGTGAGGTGGGAGAAGAGGTGGGTGGTTGTGGAAGTCGGTGGTCCATAAGATGATGGAGTACGTTCTGGAAGGGGAATGACTTTCCCTATCGACAGGGGCAGAAGGAAAATTTGTTTCTTGAGCTTTGGATGGTTAGGATGAGAGAAGGTAAGTGTGGTCCTCTCAGCCCAAAGTGATGCAGACAAGCACAGGTATCCTTTGCTTTGCCCTTGGGCTGTTTTCCCCGCCCTGGACCCCAGCCTAGACCCGGGGCTGGGAGAAGAGCTGGCGGGGTTGCCCTGGAAAGAGGGGTTCGTTCCTCCAGCTGCCCCATATGAGGACACTGGCCAAGGCGAGCTCTTAGGATCCCAGATCCTGTTGGAAGGAGTTCGAGCATCACTGCCTGCCCCAAGGAAAGCAGAAACAAAGGGGGGGCTCCAGGACCTAGAAGGTGGTGAGGGAAGTGGCATTCTCTGACTCTGAGAGGCTGCTCTTGCGCCAACTAGGGAAGAACTGGCAAAGAGAGGCAGGGCCGGCACAGCCCAGCTTGGTCAGAAGCCGCGACAGGTCACTGCGGAACTTCACGCCGGCAAACGTGTAGAGCATGGGATTGAGGCAGCAGTGGGCCAGGCCCAGGAACTCACTCATGGTGATGGCCACGGAGAGGTAGCCATTGAACTCACAGCTACTGCCCAGGGCCTTCAGCCTCGTCAGCGTGTCCAGGAAGATAACAACGTGGTAGGGTGACCAGCAGAGAAAGAAGACACTTGTCACAAGGATGGCCACCCTGACCGCCTTCTGCCGCTGAGGACGCCGCTGGGCCTGGCACAGCCGGTGCACCACCCCGACATAGCACCAGGTCATCACCAGCATTGGCAGCAGGAATCCTCCGATGTGATAGAGAAAGCGGGAGGTGAACCAGGCGTTGGTTTCGGCCTGGTTCTCTTGGGGGAAGGTGCAGTGTGGCAGAGAGTCATTGTAATGGGGTTGAGTGACCTTGGCAAAAAGGATCTCTGGCAAGGCAAAGAAGACGCCCGCCAGCCAGATGGTTGCACAGGTGATGTGGATGGAGAGGAGGCGGCGGTGGCGGTAGGCGTGGACGGCGTGGACGATGGCCAGGTAGCGGTCCACGGCGATGCAGGCCAGGAGCAGGCTGCTGCAGTAGAAGTTGATCTTGTGCAGAGAAATCACGGTTTTGCAGAGGAAGCTGCCCAGGACCCAGCCCACCGAGCCCTCGGCCACAGCAAAGGGCAGGATGAAGACCAGCAGGAGGTCGGCCACCGCCAGGTGGAACAGGAAGGTCTCGGTTGAGCTACGCGTTTGCCGGTGCCGCTCCAGGATGACCAGCACCAGGATGTTGCCCATCATACCCAGGAGGAAGATGAGGCCATAGGCCACGGGCACGAACACGGCCTTGAAGGAGGTCAGCAGGGGCCCCTCAGCTGTGGAGCAGAGGTGATTTTCCATTGTGTGGGTCTCCGAACTGTCATTGTAGCTGCCTAATTCCTTGTACTGCAAGGGCAAGGAGACAGGAGGGTGGGAACTGAGAACCAGCCTTTCCTCTCACAGAGGGACCCAGACTCCCTGGTAGAGTAATCCTATCCCCCCCAGGCTAACTGCTTTTGTC